TAGAGCCCACTTGGATAATCCAGGATAATCTCCCCATGTCATGATCCTTAACTTAACCACACCTGCAGAGTCCTTTTTTCCCTATAAGGTTACATTGACACGTTCCAGGGAGTAGGACCTGGGATCTGTGGGGGCCATTATTCAGCCTAGTATGTGAAGATACAGAGATACGGAAGACTCGGTGCCCTCCCTGAGGGGCTTGCTCGCCCTTTAAATGAGAAGGCAGATTTATGCTGAGACATCCTCCATCTACGGTGACTAGAGGTAGACTGGCGGAGTGTGGGAGCGGGGAGGGGTGTGGGCTCTAATCTTCACCTGGGGGGATTGGAGTTAAGGGTGTAGTTCAATGTGGGTCCAGTTGTGTCTTAAAGAATGGTTCACCTGGCAGACCTGGAGGACAGGGCATTGTGGGCAGAGGGCACAGCCTGGCCACAGGCCTGGAGGTGATGGCATGTAGGTTGTAGTCAAAGAAGCTTCAGTAGCTTTGTGTAGGTTTGGGTGGTTAAGGCTAGATTAAGCTGGGACTCGGACAATGTGTCCTCTCTGTGCAGGGATTTGCTGCCTCTTGACGCTCCTGAGGCTTGGACACAGTATCCAGTCCTATCTAAGCATCTATTGACCTGAAGCCTCACCTTGACCTTATCGTCCTGGGCTCCTCCTGACACACACCACAGAGTGGCAGTTCCACACCCCTCAGTTCAACATGTATCAGCTGGGCCAGATCTTCTGCAGGTGGGGTCAGGGTGGCATACAAGGAGGAAAGAAGTGATTAGATCCATAGGTGCCTTTCAAAAAGGACCCCCTCCCCACCCGTCAACCACCATCATGCAGGTAGAATGATTTCAGGGCCCCGAGGGGAGCCATGGCAGTTTGGAGGAGGGAAGTCCCCATCCAGTGGGGGTTGGGGCTAGGAAAGGATTCAAGGAGGCAGTATGATGTTTCTTAGTAACAGCTTAATTGAGATATAATTCACATACCACACAATTCACCCATTTAAAGTGTACAATTCAATGGCTCGTGGTAAATTCAGAATTGTGCAACCATCACCACGATCCGTGTTTGAACACTTCCATCACCCCAAAGAGAAACCCAGTACCCTTTGGCTGTCACCTCCTCAGTCCCCTCCCCCAACCCCTGGCAACCACGAATCTTCTTTCGGTCTCTATAGATTTGCCTATTCTGGACATTTCATATAAATAGAATCATACAATATGAGGGGACTTCAAAAAGTTCATGGAAGAATTTGTGTTCTCTTTTAATTCCATGTTTCCGCAAACATTTTGAAGTACCCTCGCATGTGGCCTTTCGTGTCTGGCTTCTGTCACTGAGCATGTTTTCATGTGTGGTACACACATAGGTACCATATACAACAGGGCAGGGGCTCATCCATATTGCAGCATAGATCTGAACTTCATTCCTTTTTGTGGCTGGTACACTTCGTTCTTTTGCACGTGGACCTCCAGTTGTTCCCGCACCATTTGGTGAAAGGACTGTTAATTCCACACTGAATTGTCTTGGCAATCCTGTTGATAATTGGCAGCAAGATTTTTGGAGCCAGCCAGAACTAGATCCAGACCGGCTCTGACTCCCGCCCACAGTGATGCACAGGGTGATGCACTCCATTGTTGAGCCTCAGTTTTGTCATCTGTAAAATTTGGGTGATGAAACCCATTCATAAGGTGGCTGGGAGTTGTTTTTATTTCCTTTTTTGCATGTGTGCATTAGTTTGTTTTTTGCTTGATAATCGGCCATTCATTCTCATTGTAGAAAAAAACGGGAAATACATAAAAGAGTAAAGAATCAGAAAAAAATCACCCATAATCTTACCACCAAATG